TTATCTTTTTTTAATTTTTGATAGTCGCCAGAATACTTTTTGAAAAACGATTCTTTGTGATATATAACTCCTCACAAATTAGATGAATAAGCCTTGGTCATTGATTACTATTGTTTCATATTGATAACATAAAGCAACAAGCAAGCTTATCTTTATAAATAGATAATGTCGATATTTTCCTGTTACTATCATTTTCAGTTTGACTAATATCTTGGATAGATTAAGTTATTCTTAAAATTATCCCCTTCAATTCTTCATTTTTGGAAGAAATCATTCGTCGAAAAATTTTTGATGATCCCTCATGGAGTTTTGAATCATCAAATTCACCGATGTCTTTAGCATTCATGGCAGCGTTGATAAAATCTTTGTTATTTAGGCAGCGATACGTGTTATTATTATACATGTATTGTTCATTTATAAATTTCTTACATTGCTAATTTTCTTTATTTAACGATAAAATGGTACATGTGTAATTGCTGTATCAAAACTCCGCATTTCAAAGTGAGCAGAAATTCTCGGAATTACGTTTAAATTTGTAATTTACGCAAAATTAGACATTTTCTTAATCTATATTCCTTTTAGAAGCAATGAATTTGTATTTCAAACGAGTTTATATGAAATCGCACTATTTATAACCCATCCATAAACAGTATGTAAGTTATTAGATTCAACAAAAAACTTATATTTTATATCGAGAAACTATTAAATTAACATTCTTAAAACAAAGGTTAAATAGGTTGATTTTAAATTATCCTTTTATATTGTGAGCCACTTATGCAAATAAAGCATATAACAAAAACACTATTTTAAATTTCATTCCATTTTGTCGTGTTTTAATCAGAATATAAAAGTTAAACTACTGAAATTAAATAATTTATTGAAAATAACTCCTGTACAATATGTTTTTATACGAGTTTAGCTAATAAATTTTCTGCACAAAAAATTTCTAATACAATACAAGCCACTAATTTGATTTAAATTAATTCGTATTCATTCAGTTAAGTATCTTTTTTTACACTAAATGTACGAGCATTAAACTTAGCATAAACGTAAAATACATGTGATTTCTTTTTATTAAGTTATAGAAGTCAAAATATGTACATAATACTTTTAATAAGCAAATGGAAATATACAAAACATAAAAAATTATACTGAAGTATCTAAATACGTAAAGAATATATAATACAGCCAATCTTTCTCTCGCCGTATATAACCGTTTTTTGGATATAAATTCCGTGAACCTTACTCATTCAGAATGCGACCTTACAGATATATAGATATAATGCTTTATTTAATAATTTGATTTAAATCCCCAAATTTCAAATGTTCAAATTCAGAATACAAAATGCGCTTTTAAATTCATAATAGGGAAAATAGGAAAAAGTTTTTTAAGTGAATCAAGCTTGACCTCATAAGTATAAATATTCAGAATATCTTTATTTTATTTTATTTTAAGTTTGATTCACATAAAATTCAGAATAAAGATGTCATTTAAACTGATTTCTATCCTTTCACTATTAAAAGTCTGTTTTGAAGAGTGCTTGAATGTTCAAATGCGAAATAAATCGAATTTATTGTTTTCTCTTATTTGTTTGACATACTGTATGTCGTAAAGATGGGGAAATACTTGAGCTAAAGCCCGAGATATTACGGACACCACACCTCCAAAACCTCATTGACAGTCATTTGTCGGCTAACAGGACATTTTTTCATTTTGCAATGGAAAAAAACTAAATTATGTTTTTTTTTAAGTTACATTATAAATGTTTTGGACTAAGTTGCGATTTAGACCATTTCGGGATCACTGGTCCAAATTCTTGTAAATGGTTGGATATTTTAATTTTTCACGTAATTTTTTATTCGGAAATGGTCCAAATTTCAGAACACCAATAAACTGCCATTAAAGTTTGATTGTACATGCTGGGAACGGTCATGTTTTCAATATACGTTTTGTGCCATATTCGTTTCTCATTATATATGGTGAGAACTGTATAATAACGGTTAATAAGAAATCGTTTAATGTAACGTTGCAAAAGCTCAATTACAGTAGTTCGTATTCGTTCAATTTTATGACATGTCTAAAACTCCGTCCCAACGATGTCATATTAGCTGAGCCGGATTTGAACTCACATAACAACAGCTATTAACTAATACTTGTTTTAGTCCCTCCTAAATGCTCGCGTCACAATGAATGTGGAATTTGTCCTATAAATATTTAACGTTACATTAGTCACTCTCTTTATGCAACATGTTATCAATATACTATACCAAATGTGTTCGAACCGAATTTTTCTGATCAATGAGATAACTGCTCTTTGTAAAAAATAAATCTGATTTATTTTTTTTATCAAATTTATTTTATTGTTGCCTTCGCAACGAGAAAACCCGTGATTATGAAATCCTCGAATTATGTGAGAAATAATTTTGTTCCGTACCGCCTGAAAACCTTGTACATGTACATGTACTGTCACAGGTGGGTTGGAGATTCGTGGATTTAGGGAAATTTGTGCACCGTGACGGTGGGTGGGAGGGGGACGATTAGACTAATTTTGCTTGTTGGTCTAAATCCTGTGCCGATATCTGCGGATATCGTTTGATATGGGCATTTCCAAAGGTGAGCAATAAGTAATTATGGTGAAGGGTAAAGGGGATTCTGTGTATTAACTATTAACTATTAACTAATCTATTCTTTTATTCCTACGCTTTTTCTAGATAAAAGCCTTTAAACTAGGATCAAATCATTCAAATCAGTGATGCGTTTCGCCTTTTCTGGACTAAAGGACCTAACCCAATTCGTCGTCTTTTCTGGTGGAAAGAACCTAACCAACACGTTAGGATTACGATTCTTATGGAGAGGTATTTCTCTTGGAAAAAAGTTAATGTACACAATTTTATTTCTGTTTTATTTAAAGGCCTGAGAGCCATTCGTTTTATACATTTTGTTATCTTTTACTATATATAAAAAAATACTATTCTAATTCTATCTAATTTCTTTATTACATTAATAGATCGGGCAACGGTAAAGGATTACTAAAGAAGGAGTGGCGTGGTCTATTATACTGAAGAACGTGAACGATTGTGCTGAAGAATGGGGGAAAGTCGTCGCGATATATATTATCGACAACGTGTGCTGAAGAATAAGGGGGAAAATTTATCATGATCTATAGTATCGTCAACGTGTACTAGAAAATGTGGAAAAATAGGGGCGCAATGCGATCTCGTGTGCTGAAGAATGCTGCGATTAAGGGGTGTGGGCGCGGTTACGAACGTGATGCTGGATAATGCTGAAAAATAGAGGGTCGAGAAGTATGTGGTGTTGTGGAATATTTGTCGGTCAGGACGATTCCCTTCATGATTTCCGGAATTGCTGATTTTAATGAAATAATTGTAACAGTACATGTACATGTAGTATCAGCATTGATGCCGCTTCGCAAAATTCTTACAAGAATGCTAACATTAACACAGCGCTTCCAATAATAAGAATTTCTTACAAAAATTCCCAAAGATTTTGATTATCATTAGAAATTTCATACAAAAATTCGTATCGTACGTTATTCTTTTGATCCATTGAAATTGACTACATTTTCCTTACAAACATTCATATTTTGTATCATATATAATAATTTTACTTAATTTTATTTCAAATTTATTAATGTCTTTTAACTTAAAGTTAGCCCTACTCCTTTATGTAAAAATTTCTTATAAAAATTCACACTTATACTTTAGATCCGCGAAATCTATAATGAATTACAATCTGTAATTTAGATAATTATGTAATAATCAAATTGTATATAAAGGACAGTTCTCGAAGGTCTGAGAGACAGACAATATGTGGTTTAAAGAAACTCTTACCTAACTACATCTCGGCTTTTATTGCCATAACGAAATTGATAACTTTATTTCTTTTGTGTTTAACAAAATCGAAGGCTTTGCCTCTTTAGCCATGCCATATAAAATTGATGCATTTCGTTTGATTATTTGATTGCGATTTTGTGGTTTTTTTTTGATTTGGGATAAATCTATTTTTGTGGTTTGGATTAAATATTGTTAGTAAAACTTTTGATTTTATTTTTTATTTAATTTAGTGTTAGTAATTAGTTATTATTTTTTATAAATGAATTATATATTATTTTATACTTTACCTTTGTCCTTGAATTTTTTATTTTCGATTGTGCATTCTCCGTGTAAGGTTGACATAGGAGACCTTTAAATCCTTAGTGATACCCTTCTGCGAAAATCATTCAGTCTAGTCCGTCCGACCTTTTTTACATACTCAATTCTCTAATTAACTAACTTTGGATTGGGTAATCGTATTGAATATTCACATGTCATAGTTTACTGGATAAGTGTCCATTCATTACATATACTGAATTTCCATGGATGGTTCAATTAAGGCTTATTTTCGTTGCTATTTATTTTTCAAGTCTTGTGATAATAAACTTTATAATGTGTTGCAACATGACAGGTGCTATATCCTTCTTGAAGCACTATAATTATTTGGAAACTTTGCTCTATAATAAGTTATATTATGTTTAATAAAAATTAAAAAAAATGCATAAATATATTAAAGTGAGTAGGGATAAATTTTTTTATATGTTAGTTTTTAGATATTTATATAAAAAAATGCTTGATTAATACTTATTTTTGCTCTTGTTAAAAGAGCAAAAAAAAAATGCACCGGTATTCAGGAGAAGAAAAATAACTTACGAATAATTGATATGATTAATGTCTCTTTTTTTGTGTAGAGCTCGTGTTCAATGTTGTCTGGTGACATTATTTGTTTATCGGCTCTCGCATAGTTGAGAATTACAAAATTTCTAATGGTCTAATGAAAAATAATCACGTTTAAAATATTGTCGATCATCTATAATTATCTTGTTCGGATTGTCAATATAATCCTAGTAATACGTCATAGCCGTAGTGACGTAGTTCGTGACTATCCTGAGCGTTAAGTATAATCGTGAGAATATCTTTTATTTCACGCAAAAAACTTTACAATCATGAATCCCGAAGAAACGATAATAAATAACTTTTTTAATCTTATGCTAGGGGCGCAGCCCATAAGACGCACCAGACAACAGTTGCTAGATAACCAAGAAAGATGGATAAATCATTTGGAAAATATAAGAAAGAAAAATCTTGTAAATTTCGAAACGACGAACAGCACTTTTGCCAATAAAAAGGCGAATACCGTAGATGTTGAACTTGTTCCTAAAAATCGTATTTCGATCTCTCAACTACAAATTAATAAAGTTCATACTGGTAAATTTTTGTTGTGTCGTGTAATCACGAAATGCGCAAAGTCAACTGCGCTTGCCATGGTTATTGAAGATCTGGAAGGTGAAGCGGAAAGGTTAGCTTTGCATAATTACATCCCAGTCAATAAAATTCCACCTGGAGGTTTATCAGTAGAGCAAGCATCTCGATTTCTCCCAATCGGCACCATCCTTGCTATTCAAAACCCATATTATAAGATTTCCCAAGACGGGCAAACCTCGCTTCGATCTGATAATCCAAATGAGATCGTGATCATAAAGTCGAACGATAAATTGCTTACCCAATTTAGATGGAAAACAAACATCGAGTTACCCAGGCACTCGGGGATTGAAACATCAAAAATTTTATCGGCTGACGATTTTCGTATACGTGGAAATGAATACTTTGGAAAGAAAGATTTTATGTCTGCTTTTGATGAGTATTCACACGGAATTGAACTAGATCCACAAAATGTGACGCTTTATGCCAATAGGTCAGAGGTGCACTTGCGTTTGAGCCAATTCAAAGAAGCACTCGATGATGCTGAAACGGCTTTGAAGATTGATAGCAAACATCCAAAAGCTGCAATTCGAAAGGGTAAGGCACTAATGCATCTCAAACGATATACTGAATCAGTAAACACATTTTGTACACTTCTTAAAGATGAAGCTGTAAATACGTTGGATAAAAAACTTGGGAAAGAGATCGAAGAATATCGAAAACAAGCTCAAGAGCTGGATTCCGAAAATAAACATGGAAACTATAATTATATTAAAATTATTAATGAATACTTAAAAAAAATCGAGACACGTGAAATTAACTTTGGAACTAAGGAATGGGTTCATCTGGGAGGGCCGAGGTTAGATCATGCAGATTATGTAAGCAATGTAATCGAGATCAAACAAGTTGGAAAAAAGGGTCGTGGTTGGGTTGCAAATAATGATATTCCACAACATACTCTATTAATGGTCTCAAAAGCTTTTGAGATTGTATTTAATCAAGAAACTCGTACGTGCATGAATACTAATTCCAGTACAAAAATTATGAAGGAGGCTACAAATACAGAATTACTCACATCGATTGTCCAAAAACTTCGAGTTGAACCAACACTTGCTCGAGAAATCTATGATCTCTACGCCGGACCGGAATCGATTCATACCACGAGTCCTGGAAAAATTTCTTCAAAGAGTGTGGATGTAGAAAGAATTGAAAAAATAATATTTTATAATGCGTTTCAGTCAGAATTTATGTGGGAAATTTTTAATCAAAAAATAGATCATGGTTGCTTTGGATCTGGTATTTGGATAAAACCCTCATACTTCAATCATTCATGCATTGACACGAATGTGCAGAGAATATACTTGGGCGATTTGATGTTTGTGCGTGCTCAACGTCCGATTAAAAAAGGAGAAGAATTAACTTTATTTTATACGGATCCAGTAGAACCATTTGAAAAGCGTACAAAAACTCTTCAAAAATTTGGCATAAATTGTCAATGTCGTCTTTGCAAATTGGAGCGAGCTGAATCAAATAAAGTAAAGCAGCTACGTGTAAAGATCCAGGAGCGCTTTAACTCTGACATCACTCCACCTCAGTTCGAAGGAGTTTCGCTTGATTCATTAATCGCAGAATTAGAAAGTTTGATTGAGGAACTAGAATCTCTCAGACCCAAAAATTACGACCTGGATTTCTCGTTAATGAATGTCAAAACCGCGCTATCTATTGCATATCATAAAAACGGAAGTTTCACAAAATCTATAACCATTCTTGAGCAATTGCATCATCTAACAAAAAAGCATAATCTTTTTCATTATTCGTATCGATTTTCTTCCTTATTGGCTTATTCGTATACGATTACGGCAAAAGTTGAGAAAGCAAAGGAATATTTTAAATTAGCCTTATATGAGATGATTGCGCCAATTATAGGGAATTTTGATGTTAGTGATAGTCAAATTAGATCAGATGTTTTGCTTATTGCAGAAAAGCTTAATATGCCTCATATAAATGAGGCAAAGTTAGCTGGATTGATGGATTGATTTAATTTTTCTATAGCAAGTATATACTCACTCATCAAAAAATGTACACATTAACTTTAAATTAGCTTGTTCAATGTTCTCGCTATATTTACAAGGTTTAGTATAGTATGGAATTTATATATATTCTATCAATTTTCTGTTAAGTTATAAATTTGATAAAATCGTCGGATTACTTATGGCTGTCACTATGTGGCCCGCCCGTGCACTCATTTGTGAGTGTGTTTTATTTGAAAATTGTTGGCACCTTAAGCGATCCTCTGACTTCACCCGTGCTTATTCTGAGTAGTTTAAACTAGACTCGAAGCCTTCTTATCCAGAATGTGAAGGATATCGATCAGCGAAATGATTTTCCTGTCTACGCTGCTGACGGTAATCGCAGTACCCCGCGTGGTACGAACTTATTCATCTTGGAACAGGATGGGTAATGATCCAAGGACTATGAAATTTATTTTGCTTAGTTTGAGGTGTCCCTGGCGTTCGGAAACAAGTATTTTTTAATCTGGTAAAGTTAACAGTTCTGTTCCATTGAAACTTGATTAGTCTCTTTGGAGGCTTTTCAACAAGATTTTTAAGATCAATAAATCTCTTTACTGATGGTGCAGTCTTTTTCTGCTCAAAATGATGCGATCTTGTATGGACAGCTTCTTTTGAAGTGATGGTTCGATTCCTTCCAAGATCACTTCCTCCCTAAGTCGTCCTATTTTCACTACACTAGTCACGACTTTACTATAGTCCCGTATAACGTTCATTAATGATTTGTTCACAATTAATCTTAATAATAAAATATTTTAAATCCAGTATTGGATTTAACGAGTTTTTTATTAAGTTCGTGCGATAATAAAAAAATAAAGCAAATTTGATCAAATGAAGATACGGCAAACAAATCATTTATAAATAACGCTACGTTAGCATTTATTTTGCTCTTAAAGAAATAAATCAATTGAAATGAAGACCGCACCAGCAAATTGTCCGTACACGTGATTATCCAATCACGTGTTGCACATATAACTGGACCGGAAAAAATGCGATTCCAGTGATCGAAATGATCAACGATCCATTTAAAATGGAAGCATTATTATCTGACGATTATTTTTAAATAAAATTTAATGTACATTTATTAGCAAATAGCGCAAATCATAATCAATATATTTATTAGCAACTAGCACATAAATCATAATTAATAACATAATTGGATTTCTTCATAATCAATAAGGTTTGCTGCAGATATTATTTGTTCTTTTTAAAATTTTTACATCTTGATGATAGCAAATTTAAATGATTATTGTAAAAATAATGTCCATGATTTTGATCCACGTCATGTTGGATCACGTAGCCATCTACGTTGCATTGTCTCAATGTCATCTAATATTGTGAACAAATGGTTTGTATTATCAACAACTCGCATAATATGATGCAAGTTATTAGCTGCAAGCTCGATTTCAAGATATTCTGCCATACGTCTTACAGCCACTATCTTGAGCTCCCAAATATGACATATTTCTTAACCATTTTCATCCTCAACTAATCCACTACCTAACATGTCAATTGTGAAATTGAAGAAGATTGTGATATATAGTGTGTGACAAAAAAACTTAACTATTTGCTGATCATATTAAATAATAAATAAATATCTTCAATTTTAGCTTAATTTATACTATTTTTTACTGAATTAAAGTTAAATAACAGATTTATTTACTATACTTGTTAAATAAATTCTTGCAAAATTCACTATAAAAATGCTATTAATTACTTGTAAATAAAAGATATATAACTTATTATATTATTGAAATGAAGCTATCTGTTCTATATCTAAATTATCCAAACTAATCTTAACCCTACAGAAAATTTATAGACTATTATTAAGAGTAATATTAAGAAATTAATATTTAAAAATTTGAATATTTTAAAGAAGTTCTTGATAAAAGAATGGAATCCTATTCCAAAAATTATTTTAATAATTTAATAAATTTGATAAAATATTATTATAAGTTAGTTATTGAAAGCAAAGATAAATAAATCAATTTTTAAGCCTAATAAATTTTATTCTATAACTTTTTTGCTTTTAATGATATATTGATCACTAAATTTGATACAATATTTATGAATTTATAATAAATTTAGTATAGTTAAGTTTTTTTATCACATACTAATATATCTCTTCAGATATATTTTACAACTTTTTGCCATTCTATATAAAAAAGAGATAATACTCTCACTGCTAAAAATTACTATACAATAAATAAATACAGTGATTATCATAAATATTCAGAATTTTTAAATTTGTATATATATTATATGATAAAGAATAAATAAAATTTTGTAAAATTTTTTAAATATATGTTTTTTAATATGAAGAACAAAGTTATTTAAGACATATTGATATAATATCTTATTGAAAATTTCATTAAATTATAAAAAATTAAAAATAATCATAAATATAGCTAACTTTATATCTTTATTGATTATTTAATAAAAAAATGACAGAATTATATCAAAATTTATAAATATCTTCTTTGTAATATAATGAATAATTTCACCTATAATAAAGTAATAGAATTACTTAATATTATTTTTAACAATATAAACTTAACCTTTGTTAGATCTGACTTATTTTTTTATAATAAATTTTACTGAGAAAAGAGTAATAATAATTGATAATAATTAATAACAAGTCTATAAAATATTTAAATCAAACTTGTATTATGGGTTATAAAGAAGATGTATCTAAATTATCAGGTAATTTTGATAATTTTTCATTATTCTATGTACTATATTAAAAATTCCAAATATTTATGATAATTACTGTACTTTATGAATTAGTTAACTTTGCTATTTTAACTATATATTTATAACCTTCTAGTTATATAGTATAATATATTTAGATTAATTTACATAGAAAAGTCAGAATATAGTATTATATTTAAAATAGAATTCACACATAAAACTAAATCAAAAGCAGACAAAAGATTATATTTTTAAAACTTATTTTTTATTTGATATATTGGTACTTAAAATTACAGAACAGATACAGTATCTTTAAATAATAAATTAATGTTACATAAAATTAATAATAAAATAAATAAATTAATAATAGATAATACTTATA